ACACACCCTCGCCGCCAACCCCCACTCCCCCCTCGCTTTTGCGCCCTGTCACAGCCCCGACTCGCAGGTAGAGAGAGTTAAGAGATTTAAAGAGAAATTGCTACATTGTGAGAAACTCACCCTGATGTTTGAGCAGCCGTCGGCGCGGGGTCTCCGGGACGGCCCCGCACGGGCTGCAAAGGGAGGACCCAGACGGGGCCGGGCGGCCGGGCCGGTCAGCGCACTGCCTGATCGCATGGCGGCCGCTCGCCCGGCTTACCCCGAACCCCTGCAGCCGCACGCAGCGCGGCCCCCACGCCCCGGGGCCCGCGCCCGCTCCGGGGAGCGCCCCTCGGGTGTGCAAAAAAAAAATTTTTTTTTTTAATTAAATGCAAAAGAAAAAAAAAAACCTTGCAGGTTTTGTGTCCCGCCCCCCCTCCTCTTCCTCCTCCTCCTCTTCCTCCTCCTCCCTCCGCCCTCGCCGGGGGAGGGGCTTACGGGAGGCCCCGCCCCACGCCGCGGCGAGCCAGTCACGCCCCGGCCAGGCGGAGCGGCGGGCCCGGCAACGAATGGGAGGCTGCGCACGCCCGGGGAGGAGGGGGGGCCCTGCGCCGGCACCGCCCCCTCCTCAGCCCTAGTCTCGGGGTTTCGGGGTGCGCCTGGCGGGCTCCGGGACCGTTTGTCTACTGCCTCGAGCCGTGCTGCTCCTGGTAGTGCGGAGAGCAGCTCCAGGGATTCGCTCTCGCAGACCCCCGGCGCCCGGCCCGGCTGGGGAGGGGCCGCCCGGAGCGCCCCCGGGGCGGGGGACAGTGGCTCGGGGGGCCCGGAGGACGCGTCCCGGGGAAGCGGCGCAGCAGTCGGGGCTGGAAGAGGAAGGGCGGCACGGCGAGGAGCCCGGCGGAGGAGGCGGCGGGGCCGCGGGCCTGGCCGCTCACTCACCGCGCCGCGGCCTCCGGTTCCGCGCCGATGGGACTCCCGGAAGCCCCAGGGCGCCTCGGCGGTGGCGGCTCGGCTTCCTCCGCCCCACGCGGTCGCGAGCGCCTCGCCGGCGGGACTGGGCCCGGCGCGGAGCGGCCGCGGCCGAGCGCCCCCCGCGCCGCCCGGCAGCCTCCCCGGCGTTCTGAGGGAGCCGGTGCACGCGGCGCGGGGGGGCCCGGAGGAGCGGGAGCGAGGCAGACCTCGTCGGCGCGGCCTGCCGACATTTCCTGAGGCGTATTGTTTGTGAGAGACCCCAGAGGTCCAGGGCCCCTCCCCGGCTCACCCCCGGCCTTTGCCGCTCCTCGCTGTGTGGCGCTGGGCGGGTTGCTTTTCCTCCGGGCGCGCCCCGCTTCTCCAGGGCTGAGGGTCGCAGGCCGCACTTCGTGGGGGTGATGGGGAGAAAGCGGGGCTGGGTGGGGGGAGAACCAGACCTGACCGGCTGTACCCGCTACCGGGGCCGATTATAGAACGCGGGAACGTGGGGGGGGCTTCCGGAAGTGGGCACAAGATGGGGGTGCCCCAGCCAGGAGAGCGCGGTGCGTCTGCGACTTACTCATGGTCACCCACAGCCCACTGGAGGGACGTGGGGCTCGGCCTGTGGTGCAGCCTGGCCTTTTCCAGCTCAGAGCTGCCCGAAGCCCTAAGTTGTCTGGGAGAGGGCCAGTGTTTTGTCTAAGGTCCCCAGCCAGGAAGTTGCTGACGCTGTCATTGTATTTGGTGGGACCTGGCACCTGGTAATGGGTGTCATAGCTGCCAGCCCCAGGGGACCTGCACTTGGGGTGGGGGGGTTGCCAAGCCCGGAGGCAGTGGGGAGGACTTCCTGTGCTTATTCGTTCATGCAGGAAGTAGTTCTTGAGTGTCTAGTGTGTGTGTGTGTGTGGGCACCCTGGCTCCTGAATGTCACACAGCTCCCAAGTCTGTTAGGCAACACAGGAAGCGAGGAGGCGGGTAAGCCCCATAGCCTCAGTTTACCCCCTGGGCTGTGCGGATTCCTTTACTGCACTGTAGTATGTCCCTTGCCCCTGGGAAGGTACCTAGCACTCAGCAGGTGCTGGAGAAAGGGTTGCGGGACACAGGCAGCCAGGCTCTTGGCATCTTTGAGAGCCCGTCCGGGTTTCAGAGTGGAGGCCAGTGTTGTCCATACCATTCTAGAAGCAGGGGCCAGCGTGGGGTGCCATTGTAGGCCTTTGGGGGTGACATAGACCTTCCGTTGGAAATCAGATGCAGGCTAGGAATCCCAGGTAAGAAAGAACCGAGTTGGGCGATGGGACCCAGACAGGTTTGACGACTGCCCCAGGGCTCCCCAGGCTGGGCGGGGACTAATCCAGTCCGGCCGGCCGGGCTGCCCTGAGTCACATGACCTGTCCCCTCGCTGCAGTGCCTCCATTTTCCCATCTGCTCAGTGGGACTGTGCGGTCATCCCCTATTAGATTTGAGTCCTGGCTCAGCAGTTCCCATGCCGCAAGAGAGTAATGTGCTTTTTCTTTCCTTATTTGAGAGGCAGAGAGACACTCTGGTTCACTCCCCAAGTGCCTGCAACAGCCAGGGCAGGGCCAGGCCAAAGCCAGGAGCTGGGTCTCCCATCTCAAGCGTCGGGAATCGGCCTGCTGTTAGCCGGAAGCTGGGTCAGAAGCGGACTAGCTGGGACGCACACCAGGCACTGCGGTGTGGGATGTGCGCACCCGGACAGCGTGTTAGCCACTGTGTCTAATCTCACCCAGAGAATAAAATGCTTTAAAAAAATTGTTTATTTGTAAGGCAAAGTTACGGGGGGGGGGGGATGGAGGGGAGAAGATATCTTCCACCCACTGGTTCACTCCCCAAATGGTCGCAATGGCTGGTGCTGGGCCAGGCAGAAGCCCGGAGCCAGGAGTTGCCTCCCAGTTTCCCACATGGGTGCAGGGGCCCAAGCACTTGGGCCATCTTCTGCTGCTTTCCCAGGTGCGTTAGCAGGGAGCTGGATCGGAAGTGGAGCAGCCGGGACTGGAACCAGCATCCATAAGGGATGCTGCTGGTGTCAGGCGTCATTCAGGGTTATTCACAGGCAGCTGGATTTGAGGTCTTTGTCTTTGCAAGAGGCAAAGGATCCTCTCAAGCTGAATGAAGAGGGCGCCTGACAGGCCAGGTGGGCATCGGCACAGAACCGAGACCCCCCCCCCCCCGGCCAAACGCTATAGTGTGAAAATCTTCAGACAAGGGACAGCAGAAGAAACAACACCCCAGTTCCCACCACTCCATGTGACCAGCCTGTTACCTGTTTGCTTTGTCACTCTGTGCGTCTGTCTGTCCACCAAATCCATCCTAGTTGTAAAATTTATTCTTAAGGTGAGGAGACAGGTTTCATCTGCTGTTTTAACTCACCAAATGCCCACAATAGCCAGCCCTGAGCCAGGCACTCCATCCATATCTCCCACATGGTATTAGGGACCTGCCACCTACCAGGGTGCCCGTTAGCAGGAAGCTGAGCCAAGGCCAAGACTCCCAGCCAGGTCCTCAGATGTGAGATGCAGGAGTCCCAAGCGACAACTTCGTAGCTGGGCCAAACACTCGCACCACCCCCGTCTTGGTGTTTTGTTTTGTTTTGTTTTTTTATGGTTTGAAAGCTGTAGACATCTGTTTAACCGCTGCCTGCACCCCCCCACAACACACTGGCACCTGCACAGCATTAACCAGGCAATCGGAATGGTTCTCTAAGCCCTACACCTCAATTCTACACCTGTCCACGTTTGCTGAAGGAGAAACGGGTTCGCGGGAGGGTAAAGATTAGGTCAAGGTGGCACAGCTGGAGATTCATCCCGGCCCTGTCTGTCCCGAGTCCAGGCAACACGAGGTGAATCTGCAAAGATGCCCTACGCGTGTCTGCGGCTGGCACAGGTCCCTGTCTGCCACTTTGGGACTTACTGCCATACAGAACCTCTACCTGCTGTAGAGGCGTCTGGTTCCCGGGAAGTGCCCGGTGCCAAATCCAGTCCCAAGAGCTCCCCTTCTGGCCAAGAGCCAGGGCATTGTCCACCCCTCCCACTCACAGCCCAGCTCAAGCGCTCCCAGCCGGGTCCGAATCCCTTCCACCGCTGCCGGCCGGCGGGGCCTGGCTGCCGCGCCTCTGCGACCCCTTTCTCGGGGAGCGGCTGGGACGCGGTGCCCCCATGACCGGCTGCTCGAAGCTGGCAGGCTGCTGGCAGTTTGGGAACAAAAGCAACTTCAAACGGCTCAAAACAGGCCGTTTTCGGCGCTCCTAATTCCTGCATTCAGCTGTCTGCAAGCTAACCTCTAGTAACGAGGAGAAATCAACGCAAAGCCTTGCGCGACCCCAAAACACCCCGACAATCAGGGTTTCCTCTAAAGACCCTACTGGAATCCGGGTTTTGGTTGCCGGGCGGGAGGTTACAAGGGGACTCAGAGGGCACTGACTCCCGGACGATCTCTGCCCTCCGACCGCGCGTCCGTCAGATGCGGCTGCTTACCGCAGAGCCCGCAACCCCAGCCGCCGGACCCCGCGGAGCCGCCCGCGCCGCGCGCACCGCGAGCTGCAGCCAAATCAGGCAGCTGCGAGCCCAGCCCGGCCTCGGGTCCTCAGCGCGGCAAGTGCGGGGGGCGGAGTCTGCCCTCCTATTGGCCCAAGCGTGGAGGCGGGACAAAGAGTTGTCCCGCCCCCGCTGTGTTAAACGGGCCTTACGCCCGGCCGCGGGGGAATTATTCATCGTGGGGCGGAGCTTGGGTTTGTTTACACGCTCTCATTGGCTGGATTTGAATCGGGCCGACT